AAGAAGAAGAAGAAGAAGAAGAACTACTGTCGTCAACGTCCAAGTTTTGGATCTGCTTCAAGTAGCTCTGCAGCGCCGACGCCATTGCCATGCGAATCCGATTCATTGAGTCCTCATGACCGGACACGTCTATCTCGGCCAATTCCAAGCATTTCTGGCCAGCCAGGCTGGTGAATGCCTTGTGGGGTTTGCATTCGGGCTTGACGGAACGTTCCTGAACGTTACCCTCGAGCGCCGCCTCGACCCAGATCTCTCTCAGGTCACTACCGTAGGAAAGAAGAACGCTGGGTGTTTTTATCGTGACCAGCTCGTTGTCGTCCTCCTCGTTGTCGTCGTCGTCGTCCTTGTTGTCGTCGTCGTCGTCGTCATCGTCGTGTCGCGGCGCGTAGTTGCCTCTAGGGGATTGGGTCGGGGCTGCTGCTCGACGAGGCGATCCGGGACCATTGACATGATGTCGTGGCGGAGGTATAGGTAGGAGGGAAAGTCTCTCGTATCCATGTCCTCAAAAACGGGAAAGACAGGGGTCGAACAACTGTAGACCACTGGCAATGTCTCCGGGGTTGAGACGGAAGAGTTCTCTGAGAAGGTTTCTTCCGACCGCTTTTCCAAGTTTTCCGCCCGTGCGGCGCGGATGCGTTCTTTCCTCTCGCGACGTTGCTTGTGCCTGTCCCTGAGTTGTGTTTTGCCCATCATGATGGCGAGAAGGAGAGGATACCACTTCTGGGGTATGGTGTGTTGATAGTGCGTTTTAAGGCGAGGCGACACTGCAGTCGTTTGTTGTTCGTGTGATGCGTCGTAGCACGCTTACGAGTGAGCTTGGTTTAGTGCTGCCAGTTGCTGAACTCTTTTTTCTCTTGTCTTTTTTTTTTCTTTTTTTTCCTACCAGTCAGCAAGGTTTGGTTGATGAAATCAGCAAGCACGTGTCCTACCGCTAGTAAGCCCTTGAATGAAATGGGCAGGGTGTTGGAAGAACACCCTTTTTGTTGGTTGTTGTAGTAGGGTGTCGGTAAATCCCGGTGGTAGTGGATGAGGATTGACGACGGGAAGGAGGGACCGAGTTTGAGTCGGGAAAGTGGCAGAGGACTCCAGTTCATGTACTCTGCGATTGGAATAATTGGAATAAAACCTGAGCTTGTCGACCGAGAGAATATAATGTCCGACCGATATATTTGCTGCAAGAGGTCAGGCAGGTCAAAGGCATAGAATGGGAAGTACGGCCAGTTTCTCGCGCATCAAGCATACCGGCGGACCCTCCCCACTGTCCCTCATAAAGACTCGACAAGAACATGCAAGAAGGGTTCACCCAGATCATCAACCCAGAATCGTGCTATACAGTCAATAAGGACCATCAACGATAACATGCAGATTCATGGTGAGTTCCTTCAACGGCCAATTAAATTCCGCACCGCTGATGGAAAGCATAAACCATGTCTTGGGGACACACAGGCGCAATATGTATGCGGCGTACCTACAGCCACACATCATCTTTGCCGGACTCGTTGCTGAGTGGTGGTTTCTGCCTTTAGTAGCATGTAGCTTGAGCAGTCTTGAATAGGAATGAGGCCTGCTAAGCCACGAAAACCGGAACTTGCCTCTTGATGGTGAGATTTCATCAAGAACCGAAGCCGAAGAAAACACAGTGGACTGTCGAGTTCGGGGTCAATGATTTCATGAGGCAGATGTACAGAATGCCCTTGCATTTATATAAATAAAGAAAACTTTTACAGTATTGCTGTCAGTACGAGGTTGCAGATGCATTGAATTGAGTGAAAAACTTCTCGATTGCTTTGTAAGCGTGCTAAAGTCCTCAAAACAAGAGCGTGTCGGCAGCGCTGTGAGATGGTCGGCCGTTTCTGATCGAGTGTCGGTCATGACATTTGACGTTGCAAGGTGAAAAGGGATGAAGTGGAAGTTCTAGAAGTGCGCCAAGTCCGATATCTCGGTGAAGGTACACCGACCCGAAATAGGGTCTCACCGTCTCACCGTCTCACCGACGAAAACGCACAGACCACTCATCTCTATCATGTAAGCTGAGCTCCCCGTCACCACCAAACGAAACTTGTCCCCAGCAATTGATGACCGACGTTTATCGCCGCCAGCTGCCAATCGTTTCTACGATTGACGTCAGGCTGTGTCCCATTGATTCTTCTCATGTGGGAAGCTCCAGAAAGTATCCCAACCGTCTTCTGAGGCTATGATCATATCGTTTCAGACTATCGATTGAAGAGCGGTGACGATCTATTTGATCGAAGCCAGATGACTGGTTACGGCAGGCTTTTTTCATAAAAAAAAACCCTGACATGGTACTAGGTCACAAGAGCAGGGACAGTTCTGGACCTCTTTTGTTGAGATTTGAACAGGCCGTGAGGCCGTGCGTGTTCCGCACGGATGTTTCCGGTGTCTTGGTTGTCTCTGAAAACATGTTGGAAAGGGGATCAACAAAGCGAGGTTTGTCACAGGTATGCAGCAGTGCCAGTATATCGTCAACAACACCAGAGTTTGGAAATGTGTCCAATTCACTTTCAACAGTATGTAAATATGGCGGCTGATGTGAAGATGCGAAGAAATCAAGGTCTCCGCAAATAAACCGAACAGAAAGAGAGCTTAGGTTGGCTTGTGAACCGCACCAGTGCCTGGTTGCCCCACTGCGAAGAAAGCCGAACATTCCTCGGCATTTGAAGGGTAATTGCTGATCCGTTGGACTGGAAGATATTAGAATGCCGACAAGCTTCGAAGGTGAATTAGATACGTAAAAAGGTTAAATGATTGAGACGTCGTTGTGATTGTTTGTTGTCCGGGCTAGGTGATGGTGAAGGTTAGAAGAGAGAATCAGCAATGTAGCTGTTTCTAGAGCTCATGTACAAACTTGACTCCTAGAAATCCAGTCTTCTCGCTCCTGTGAAACGGCCTTGAACATCTGGATGCCTCCGCTCGGAGCCTCCCGTAATGCTACTCGAACTAAAAGCGCATGTGTCCGGCCCGGAAAGATGGAAGTTGGAACATTACCGAAGTTCCATTCCTTCACATCCCGGTGTTTCTCAGGCTTCCGTCATCGGTCACTGGTCTGTCTGTCTTTGGTGATTGCATACCTAGGTACGCTGACGAGTCTTCCAACAGGCAACCAGAGACTTTGAGGCGCCACAGCTTATGTTTGTTTTGAATCAACCACCGTTGCCTACCTCTCCGGCGTCTGTTGTAACCCCCACCGTCAGACTGAACAAAGGATGGGAACACGGGAGGACTGACGGCGGGAGCTGGAGTCACGATGGTGGTCGACCGGTGGGTGTCTCGTGTGCCTCCACTTCCCCAGGCAAAAAGGTACAAATAACCAATGGTGAATCCAGACCTGCAGGTGGAAAAAGTGACCATCGAGAAGCACAAGGGTCGGTTGCAATGAGGATGGAATTGAGGATCGTGAGAGGAGTCGCCGAGTGGGTTGCGTTTTTTTAGTGGTTTTTGACAAGCAGAGAGTGGATCAGCCTCCAATGGAGTCATTGTGGTAATGCAACCGCAAAGCCTTTGCCCCCGCCGCCGACAGCGGGCACTTTCAGTTGTGAGGAGGAATTGAGACAGACCTGGATCGGAACCAGCAACCATTTATCAATCCCAACCGCAAGCCCTCTTTGATCTTTGGTAGTATATATAATTTGAACCAATTGGCGATCCTTCCCACTCACCGGACCTGGACCCCGCGCGCTGATGACTGCTACCTGTGCCGCCTCCCGCTGTTGTCGTCGTCTTCTTCTTCCATCTTTCAGAATCCTTTAAATCAACCCAACATCCAACTAATAGGGAAAAAAGGGTCCGTTCATCATTCACAAAAGCCAACGCTACCGCCCTGCATCTGTGCATACACCTCTCCTCAGCTTCTCCCCAACAAGCCAAAGACGCACGCACCCGAAGCGCTGCAGTGATTGTCCACGAGATTCCAGACCCTCCCGTCTGCTCCTTTCACAGTCACACACTTCCCCGTCCGTCTTCAAATCGATTAAGTTCGGACTTATCCGCCCACCGACCAACTCTCGCGCCCGTCCTCCTATTCAAGTCAATTCGGCCTCAATACCTGACGCATCCAAGCCGCCAACCACCCACAGCCGCCTACCTTAAATATACCCTCGATTCCGACTTTGCTGCAAGACTGCAGTTTGCCATTGGAACACACCCAAGACGCCATCTTAGTCCCGAACATCTTACCGACCTATCCGGCTTTCGGCAACTGTCGTCTTGCATCAGCACGCCCGCCCGCCCTGACAGCTTAACCCCCCCGGTCATCTTGGTCAAACAAGATCCGTCGCCGCCGCTTATACAACGTCTGGACCACCCCGCATTGTGGTCCCTTCCAGCGCACCCTCGCCCTGGCCGCTGGATCATCTCGCATCGCATCTACGGCAAGCCGCCTTGAGCGTCCCATTCCACCCCAGCTGCGTCACCCGTCTCCCGGGACGCATTGCTTTGCGACACCCGACCCTGCCGGTACCTAGTATCGCAACACTTACATAGTCGAACGAACCAACGAAATCTACAAACATCACGCATTAGAACAGATCACCATGTCTTCCCAACCTTCGACGGGCATGGCGACTCCCGTTACCTATCCCCCTCCCGAGCAAGCCTCGACCGGCAACACCATGGTGCCTTATACCTTTCCCCAAGCCAAGCTCAAGCTCCGGCAAACACAGCCTGGAAGGACACCCTTGGTCCTTGTAGCTTGCGGTTCTTTCTCCCGTAAGCTTTCAAATAGCATGTACACTGTCAGAGTTGGACTTAATTAATACTTTCTGATATACAGCCATCACGTTCCTCCACCTTCGCATGTTCGAGATGGCCTCCGACTTTGTCCGATTCAACACCAGCTTCGAAGTCTGCGGCGGCTACCTCTCCCCTGTCAGCGACGCCTACAAGAAAGCTGGCCTTGCGCCCGGTCACCATCGCGTAGAGATGTGCTCTCGCGCCGTCGAGCAATCATCCTGGCTGATGGTCGACCCCTATGAGACGGTCACTTGCGACGAAAACGGCGAGCCTGCTTATGTGCCAACAGCGCGTGTGCTTCGACACTTTGACCACGAGATCAACACCGTGCTGGGCGGCATTGAGGGCACCGATGGTGTGCGGAGGAAGGCCAAGATTTCGCTTCTTGCGGGTGCGGATTTGGTCATGTCAATGGGTATGAAAGCCTTCTCTCCCACGCGCCATCATCTTCGGAATAGTGGATATCGCCGTATATCGTTGCACAAGCTGACCATATGTTCAGGAGAGCCCGGGCTTTGGTCGCCGGTCGACTTGGGAGTCATCCTCGGCCAGTACGGCGCCTTCATCATTGAGCGCTCGGGAACCGATATCGACGAGGCGCTTGCTACGCTGAGGCAGTACGAAGATAATATCTGGGTCATCAGCCAAGTGATACAAAATGACATCAGGTTCGTCGATCACTGGTAGGATAAGGGACCCTTAGGGGACCCCTTGTACCACCACACCATCGGGTGAAGCTAGTGGCAATTTGACTGACACGCAAACTTGTCTTACCACAGCTCCACCAAAGTCCGTCTTTTCTTGAAGAAAGATCTGAGCGTGCGATATCTCATTCCGGATCCTGTTGTTGAGGTATGTCATCTTTCTGCGTCCCATTTTACCTGAATCTGAGCTAATAATGATCTGTATATAGTATATCGAAGAACACGGCTTGTTCCAAGACGAACAATCCAGCAAGAAGAAGAACAACGACTCCTCATCAACAGGAGGCAAGGACAAGGAGAAGGAGAAGCCAACAACCGCTGACGGGACAAATACGCCCTCAAGCTCGACTGAACAAACGACACAACAGAGCTAGACACTCAGATGCTGGCCTCCTACGCATGACATGAACGCTTTGTTGCGCTCCTCGGGGTTGTACCTCCAAGCAGCGTGGTAGCTTCGGGCACCTCACCTCCAAGAGGCTGACCCTCCCCGTTGGATAGATGATGATGGTTTTTCTAGAGGAGAAAAGTAGAAAGAATGAGCGAGATCATTGATCTTAGAGGAGGAAAGAACTTGGACGCGGGGAGAAAGCGGGTAGATGGCGTTTACGGTTGTTTTTTTTTGGCTTCTTTCTTTCTTGGGCAATGAATGAAACATGAACACGAAGAAGGTTCATATCATGGAAGGAATGATTTCTCTTTGTTGGCTCAAGCCAGTTGATTATACGTGCGCGTTTCGCGGTATAGGGATAGGGGGTGGGGGGGGAAGGTTTTGTTCACATTTTTAATCATCACATCACATCACTCCTCATTACGCACTGCTTGGTTCATCTAGCACAGGCTGCGCTTCTTTGCTGCTGCTGTCAGGATATGGTTTTGGTGATAATCGCTTCACAACCATCTATGTAATTGCTTTCAAGCCCAGCCCAACGTGCGTTGAGAATATCATGATACCTTTTCGCACGTTTGTTGGGCTTTTGGGCTATCCGTGATGTTCGAGTGGGTGAAATAGCGAGCAAGTCGTTTTCTTCTTTTAATTCACTATACCCTTGTTCTCTTCTCCTTGTTGTAAATTGTTAGAAAAATGTGCATGCGCCCATCTTGCCTATTGTAACTGTCCCGAGTCTCTTGAACAAAGAAATTATTCATAGCGCGTTCGTTGCTGGTTAACTGATGGAGTTTGAGAAGGAAAGGCCCTTCAATATCCACTTGCTGTTTTATTTATAGTAATTTACTCGACGAGAAGTGAGGAAGAATGAAGAGAGGATGAAGAAAGTGACATGGAATGAAATAAGGAGTAAATAAAGATGGACTAAAAGCGAAAAGATAAGTGAAGAGAGATTGAAGAGAAAGTGAAGACACGGTGAAGCGAGGGATGAGGGGATATAAACTATTTGATTCAGACGCTTCGAATATCATCTTTTCATTCACAGCTTTCTCAACACCTAAATGAAGCATCGCTTTTATGTGACGCATTCGTGGATCACATATCCTAATTCGATTGGATAGACATCAATCCTATAGGCTATGCTTTGCTCTTCCACTTCCAGGGCGGCGGCTCACGATCAAGTTTGACACTATCAACGCAACCACGTATTCCTCGTCATAACAATGTCTTACATTTCGCAATCTCTCACGCGCTCCCTGTTGGCAATGCGCCATCCACTCAAACGTTGCTCTATCATTCGCAAGCGTTGCCCGCCATCGCCTGACAGCACGGGGAGTAGATCCCGGGGGCCCACCCCAGTCGACCGTGCCGGTTTCAAGATTGTAAGTCATTCCGGAATGGGGAGGAGGACGAGGCCTACGTCTGGAGCGAAAAGACCTCTAGTCTGTGCTCATCGGCTCGCCTACTCCACTACTACCACCACCAGTACCTCCTGATGAGCCTTCGGTTTGCGGCTGCTGTTTGTTGTTCGATCGTTGTGGTTCTTCAGTGCCGGCCATTTCAGCGTCTTCCTCGTCTTCCTCCTCCTCTTCACCATCATCGCCTTCCTCCCCTTCCTCCCCTTCCTCGCCCTCCTCGCCATCGTCATCATCATCCTCGTCGTCGCTTATAACGTGAGTAGCGCTCGGAGGTTGCTGTGAAGCTGCGTTTGACGAGGTTGACGAGTTCCTTGCAGCGTAATCAGCAGCTACCGCCGAGTAGTAGCTTGCAATAGGGTTATGGGAGGAGGGGCCACCTGCAGGCACAGACTGCGTGGCTTGAGGGAACTGAGGTTCTGTGGCGGGCTGATATACAGGCTGCTGCTGGGGTTGGTGTTGAGGTTGGTGTGGGGGCTGGTGGTACATACCCCCATTTTGTTGCACAATCGGCTGCGGCTGCGGTTGCGGCGGTGTTGGCGGGGGCGGTGGTGGTGGTGCTGGCAGAGAGGGTGGGCCGTTCATCATTGGTCTTTGCTGCTGCTGTTGTCCCTGGGTCGGTGCCGGTGCCGGTGCTGGTGGGCCTTGCCGTCCAGACTGTACCACCTTCTTCCAACGGTCAATAGCCTCCTTACAAATCGTGTTAAGATCCTCATGGCGATGCTTGGGCTCCAGTCCCACGCCAGACACTCCATGCACAACCATCAACTGAGACATGTAATCAATCAGCTTTTTTTCGATTGGAATCGTGGCGGGAGTCTGCAGCTTATATTCGCGCGGCTGCTGAAGCATGTTGAGGTGTTCGATCTGCTGCTTGAGGTTGTTGTTTTCCTGCTTGATGCGGTGCTGTTCTTCTTTGAGGGTGTTGATCTCCTTTTGCTTGCGGGCCACGCTGCGCGCCAGCTCGAGTTGCCACATCTTTTCGCGGTCGAACTGGCTTGAGGCTTCCCAGACGCCAAAGCTCTTCTTCAGGTGCTCCGCGACGGCTTTTTCGAGGGACTTGTTGATGGTTTCGGAACGCCGGATGGCTTCTTTGATGTCCACCTTGACAAAGTTGACGGGCGGCGGGTAGCTAAGGTCCTCATTGACAGCAGTGGTGGCGGCTTTGCAGTTGATGCGCCATTTCTTGAACTCTTCCTGAAAGTGGGTCTCGAGGGCTTTGAACTGGTCCCATCCGGGCGGCTGAAGAGACCATGAAGTGGGAGTTGGGTAGAAGGTGGAGGAGAAGATGGTGGGTGGTGGTTCGAGGCATTGGAGGACAAGGGAAGGGAAATCAAGAGTTAGAGGGTCAAATTCAAAAGGCATCGAGTGAACATCGATATGTAATCTTTTCAGACGTATGTTAGCACCATGCCGGACTATGGGTCGTAACGGGATGACTTACTTAGCAGCCCTCCAGGAGCAGACCATCTCACGCAAGGCAAGCTCGGCCGCTCTCGCCGTATCCTGAGCATCTTGGATCAGTTGCCTCGGATCAGGTTGGTGATGCAAAGGCTGTTGGCCAAAAGAAGACGTATGCGGTGGCTGCGGTGGTGGTACAAGGGCCTGTGACCTCGGGCCATCTGGGAGAGCCTGCCTCTCTTCCGGATGTGAAGCAACGCCGTTGCTTCTTTGGGAAAAGTCAATAACTCCGGTGACCTCCCAGGGGGTGTTGAAGGGGTGATTCCTCCCAAACGCCGCGCTCACACTTCCCCGACTCCTCTGGGCTGTAGTCGGAGCCGGAGACTGGACGATGTCTGAGGGGGCAGGACTGATGCCGTCCTTGGAGGGTGCTCCCGGTGTTTCGCTGCCGGCAGCAGATGCCGAGCCGTGTCGTCGCCTGGAGGTACCCTTTGTTTTCCTCCTAGTTATCGTGCCGCGAAGGCGTCTGATAGCTGTGACATCGTGAATGCCGTCAGGCTGTTTGGGATTGTTAGGTCTGATGTAGAGGTCGAGGTGGCGGCCAAGGGAGGATGAAGTAAAGGGCGTGCCACACCAAGGGCACTTTTTGTCCTTGATGTGCTTTGGACCATTCGGGGTTGACTCAACCGAGAGGGCTGGTGTTTCTGACTCGGCCATTTTGTCTGTTTGATTTGGATTCCGGGCTGGTGCCGGTGCCGTGGCCGGTCCCAGAGATGCGGAGTTTCTTCCGGAACGGTAACTGGGGTAACGAGCCCCGAGATTTCGCGTTTAGAGCTCGGATGAAGGAGCTTCAGTTACGGTAACAACGGGTTTGTCCCGCAAAGCACAATTGCAATTGCGCAATATTGGCGGAGGGGAGCTCTTTGTTGGTTGAGGAATCCAGTAAGTCGGAGGTGGATCCGGACCGACGATCTCGGTGGTCGGAAGCTGTTAACGGTGCTGTGAGAATTCTGTTCCGATGTCCAGGCGCGAGGGGAACAGTTCTTCAACGTGAGTTATCAGATGAGTGCACAGAAGCTAGTGACTGCTCGGGTCGAGACGTGATGAAAATCCGATATGCGCGCACCGTAACAAGCTGCGGGTGAAGTAAGGATGAATACCTTATGAAGTTGGGTGTTTGGTTGTCTTGGTAATGGTTGAGGATGAGAACTGCCTTGCTCAGGGATCATCAACCGGAATTGTTGCGCAAGTTGAGTCAGGCCTGGCTGGATCAGTAAATGATGTGCTGCAATGTGATGAGAGTCGTCCCAAGCCAATGGGTCCCAGTTGACTTTGGGGATGAAGATGGAAAACCTGACAAGTTCAAGATATCGCGTCCAATTCATGAGCGGGCCGGGACCCCAGATGTAAACTTTAATTGGGGCCGGGACCACGAACCTCTCCGTTTCTTTTCTGCTCCTCCCGCACAGTATAGGGGGTACTGTACACTAAAAGTCACCATGGCCCTTGCCCCGAGCCGAAACAGGGGAGGCAGCTGTATCTTTTTCTGTAAGAGATGCTTGTCTGGGGCTTGGCATTATTTCACTTGCCCATTTTCGAGCTTGGCTCTCTGATGCTCAAGAGACTCTTTCCCTACGAAGGTCATGCTGCGAACTAATCACCCGACGATGTCGATTTGTTCTTCTCGTCCACTTCTTGATGTGCAGTGGATGCAATGTGCTCGCAGCAATCAACTTAACTCGTTTGAAAAAGCATGGTACCTTATCCAGATCCAAGGACCGGCCCGGTTGTACCTGCAGTGGAGAAATCGCATTTGCGCAAAAGATGCACCTTCAAATTGCACTTGTTTCGACCAAACTCGAGGTCCATGAACACAGCTGAGCGCAGCTCTGTCATCCACCTGTTGCAATAGTTGATGCCGTCTCGTATCATTGGAAAGGACCTATAGCTGTGCATATATCGGAGTATTGATAGATAATACTCATTCACGAATACCCCGATCTATCACCGCGATCGCTCGCGGCTCAGTCCTTGTCCCGACTCCTGTCTCCTCTCCCAGTTGGGCACGAGCCACCCGAGCCGCGTTCTAGCGCCAGCCGGTTGATCATCCAACTCGCCGGGCCAACATCATCCAAACCCAGGTCTAGACAACATATCTGATGAGCCTGTGTGTATTGGTTCCGAGCAATACTTTGAGTTGGGACGGTGTCACCTATCTCATCGATCTTTTTTACGATTGCCTTCAAAACCTGAAACCTACGCTTCATATTAGCATCGCACATAAGGCGACAAAGAGTTGTGCCATCAGGCAAATTGAAAGGGTCCTATGCAGTTTGTGTTCCATCACATGCAGCTGGTTGCGCCTTTTATCATGTGGTGCGTTCTACCAATTGCTCCCCGGAGAGAAGAACATCAGCATTGACGGGTTGTTTGAGTTTGAGATGTCCCTCATCCCATGTAGTGAGAGCTCTGCTTTGGTGCGCTTGAGACGAAAGTCTGCTTCTGCTTGCGAGGACGGATTGTTGAGTTTCTTTTGACGATGCCTGGGAACACCCACGGGCAGTACTATTTTTCATTCGATACCATGCCTGCTTGCCTAATTACAAGCAGATCTCTTGCCTACCTCATCCAAAGTTTGAAGTGAAAGTTTCTGTTTGGAAGGAGCCGCTGGACGAAGATTGCACTTCCAAAGTTTTTCCATATGGTCTGACGTCACTAAAAGGGCGGGAACCTCATTGTGTAAGTCATTTCACTTGCCTTCGCTGAGCAAACGGAATTCGAATGCATATCAACTTAAACGTGGGGAGAAAACTGGGTTGAGTATTTTCTTCTCCAGTCATCATTCTTCTGTTTCAGTACTCTACCGTCAGTATCTGTTAAGTGAGGTTCTTTGGCAACAACATCATTGCGCCAGGTCACCAAGTCGTCTAATGATCTGCTGAGTCCAGACTTTTGGGATTGACCAACCAGCATGCCCTCAGCCACAAGTTAAACCCCAAATTCACCATCGCGAGGTCACGTGCTGTAAACTCGCCACAGCCTAACAGGTCTTCAGCCTCATATACTTCCCCACTGTTTCGCGTCGACACGGCGGGCAACAGCAGATCGGAGCTCTCCAGCACTTTATGCTGGCCTACGATTCTAGCACACTGCGGCAGGCTCTCCGAATCTCCCCCGTTCGCGAAGCAGCACTACACAATCGTCCATACGGAACTCTTGCCTTCTATTTCCCCATATTCTCATATCAGCCTCACATTACCACCTACTAGTGTCGTGCGTATCTTCACACGCACTTGTGAATCGGCAAATTAACTACCGGCGCATCGATTGTATCCCCAACCGCCGAGAACAAAACCGCGTTGCGTCCTGTCACGCATCGCGGACCGCCACAATACCCCCCGTTTCGAACAGAGCGCAACACCATTCTACCATACTTCAACACTGGCGGTTGGCATAATAAATCACCAAAATGCCCTACGATCCATCAGCCCTTAGTGACGAGGAGGCCGCCTCGGATGTCGAACTTGACGCTCGCTCGGCTACCTCCAGCACTAAGAAGCAGTCTCGCGACAAAAAGTCCGCCAAATACACGATTCCTGAGCCCGAGGACTTCGACGACGAGGAACAAAATGGCGAAGACGCTGAGGAGGGCGCTGAAGACGACGAGGAAGGCGATGTCGAGGAGGATGTCTACGTCGTGGAGGAAATCCTCGACCACATGCTCAACGACGATGTACGCTGCACTGTTGCCCTGGGCCTCATCAAGCGCGCTGGACTAACACGCAACTACAGAATGAGCCACTCTTCCTTGTGAAGTGGGAGGGTTATGAGAAGAAGTCTGACCAGACATGGGAACCTGAGGACACGTTGAGGTATGCATCACAATCTCCCAGAGTTTGACTCGTTCTGTTATGCTGATATGCCTTCGCTTTTATACAGAGAGGGCGCGTCGGAGAGGCTGAAGGAATATTTCATCAAGATCGGTGGTCGCGAGAAGATCTTTGAGGCGGCGGCCGCCGCTCAAAAGTCCAAGAAGCGCGGCAGGCCGTCTTCCAACTCTGGCACCCCGCAAGTAAGCAGCAACAAGCGGTCGCGGAATAACGGTGACCATCCCCTGGATTCGGATGAGCCACAGACAGCGAAGAACGCCGCTTGGAAGCCTCCAGCGGGAAGCTGGGAGGAACACATTGCTCAGCTCGATGCCTGCGAAGATGAGGATACCCACAAGCTCATGGTTTATTTGACGTGGAAGAATGGCCATAAGACCCAGCATACAACCGATGTCATTTACAAGAGGTGTCCCCAAAAGGTATGTTTTGCCCCCTTAGGTGTTGGTCTCGAGAGTCGCTGCGGCTGATTACGTTGGGTAGATGCTCCAATTCTATGAGCGACATGTCAGGATCATCAAGAGGGATCCGGACTCCGAGGACCGCGAGGCTAGCGTCTCGCACTAGAAGACCGAGGTGACCCTTCCTGACAAACTCGAGTCCAAGCTCCCTCCTGCTCGGCGCCGAAGCAGCCGTCATTCGCAGAAATGATATCGTCATTTCCTTCCCACTTCGCCTAAAGTCGCCAACGTTAAGCCGCACGCCAGCATCTTCATCATATGCGGAAGTCGGCAACATATGATCCTCATCGTCGGACCCTTGAGCATTGAGCAATCCGAGGTGTCCACTACTCGACCGACCGCGGACATTTCTATTCACTTGTATCTTTCGACTGCTCCGTGAGAGCGCTTTCAACATGCAACCTGGGCTTGGAACGCTTTGTTCCGAAGGCGTGCAGGCTGTTCAACCATATTTGTTTCATGTCAGGAGCTCAACCATATTGAGTCCGTCGTGGTTTCCTTCTTTGTCAGTGGCAATGCGTGTCAGGTGGAGGATCTTGGGATATCAGCCTGGAACTCAGAATTAGCTTCAAGAGGGCCCCTAACTCCAACTCTCCCATCTTTATGGCGGATTCGGCACACCACTTCCGAACAGTTCATTCTTTGGTATTCTGATTTAAAGGGGTTGGGTTTCAAAAGGGCCTGTATGATCGCGTGTAACAACGGAGTGCACTGGAGTTTTGATTTGAGGCATAGCAATATTTGGGAGCGGCGTTCAAGGAAAATTGTTGTCTCCTTTCTGAACTTCTGTTGGAAAAGGCCGTGCCTGTTGCTCAGGACATCTTGAAGAAGAGTAGTGAACATCTTTACTCCAACAGAACTCAATATCTTGAAGCTTCCAGTTACCAGCGTTATATATGGAACTAATAAACATGACCAGGATCAAAATACCACCATGGATCTCTGCCTTGGAATCATGCACCCCATCTGCACATGTTGAAGATGCTCCCGTCAGCTCCCGCCCGGTGTAACAGCTCCTAACAGCTCCAAGTACCTGACCGTCCTGACCAATTCCAAGCTCAGGTGTTTCTAAATGCGGACGAAATAGTGGCCCGTGTCCACCCTAGCCCGATTGAATGCACCCCTGTCCATCCGATCAACTAAACGTCGACCGAACGCCAACCGGAGGACGCGCCCTAACGTCAAACTTGGAGGGGCCCGCAAGGTACGACGCTCCGGTTGTTTACCAGCCTTCTTCTTTTTCTCTGCCCTGACTGAGACCACTTACGATGCGCCCGCCTTACAGCTGGGCAGGCTTTTTTGGACCTACGAAAGCAAATGGGAAAGAAGGTGGCGGGGTGAAATTGATGACTTGACTATTTCTTGCTTGTTTTGCCCGCCCACCGCCCGCCCACTTTTACCACGCGCTGCTGCTGCTGCTCTTAAGTTGCTTGCTTGCCGCCGCCGTTAGAAACTGGAATGCGACTGTGATCATCTCAATGCTATACCGCTTTTCCTGATCTTGTCTGTCTTGGGCGATTCCGAACTGCTTCCACTTTCCTCTTCTCTTCATTATACCCGACAAACGAGTTCGAGAGAAAGGAAAACGCCAAAGTCAGAAGCAGAGATCAACTCGGAATCCACATAGACGACAGCGACGACAACGAAGACGACTGGTATACCGCCAATCGCCAAAACACGAACTTTGACAACCTGCATTAGCACGATTCGAGAGCTTCTTGAGCAACGCCAAAGCGGTCTGAAACAACGGAAGGAAGCTTTAAAAATAAACATTACCAAAGTATAAAGGTCGCCGATCTAGATCTGGATTTGTTCCGTCACTCAGGCTGCTTCCCTGTAAACAACAACAATCTCCATTTCGGTACCTTCAGAGTTCAGACGAACACGCTTCTTCCTGGGTGAGTTTGCGCGAAACCCGATCACAAGGATGACTACGTTTCGATATCATTCCTCAATTTATGGCTTTTCATACCCAAACACGCGATCATGAAGAGGAAGAAGAAGAGTTCCATAAAGCTAACAGGACTTACAGAGTCAAACCATTTCATCTGATTCATTTCAACACTTACACCGACAACGAAAACGACAACAAACCACACCTCTCCCGCGCCCTTCCATCCCAACGCACAACACCAACCAGACCGAGAGTCAACCTAACCCAACCCAACACCAACAACAAACAAAACAAGAAGAGTTCGAAACCCGAAAACTCCCCATATAAATAAATAACCGCCCAAAATGAAGGGAAACGACGTCATCGCCGTCATCATCATTGTCCTGTTCATCGTTCTGGCCGCCATCGCCTTCGGCATCTACCGCCTCGTCAGCGTCGCGCGCCAGGCCCACGGCACCGTGACGACCTCGTCGAGCGGGAGCAGCACCAGCCTGACGGATGATGATGAGCATGAGCGTTCGAGGCGTTAGCGTATGAAAGCCTCTCGCATTGGGAACAACAAACAACAAAGTCGAATTTGCGCAGGGAAAAAAAGAAAGAAAAAAAGAAGCTGGACGGGCTTTTTGGTCAAACTTGTGCTTTTAGAAAGGGTACTGACTGACTGACTGACTGACTGACTGACTGAATTTGCTCCTTGGAGGAGGAGGAATCAAGTTTGGAATTGGATTGGGCTATCGATCTACCTGACGGACGGGTTGTTACCCTCAGTTTCAAGTTCTCGATTTGATCAGATCCACACGCACGGGTTCCAAGGAACTTCCTCAGCTGTCCTTGTATGGAATGAACGAAACCAACCGAAAACGTCCGACGAGGCACGGGATTTCGTCACAACATACACACACAGTAACGATTTGATGGGAACGACGGAAAACACGGACAGGGAAGGACAGGAAAGGAGCAGCATGAGCATGAGCCGCAGCGAGTTGATTCGGCCATCGCCCATCTCACTTTTTTCATATCTAACGTCTACTCAAGAAGTACACGCACCGAAACGACACTTGGGAGGGAGAGAGAAATAGAGACGTGACATGATAGGGCTGGCTGGACGGCTGATGGTATTCAACACTACCACTACACGACACGAGTATATGATACCCGGCTGTCATCATTGGATACACTGGTACAAATACGCACTGGGAGGCTCTGGGACTTTGAGAGACTAGTGGGAAGTGGATTGGGTTAGGTCGGACCCAACTAACTGACTGACTACCATATTACGATCATGGCGTTTTCGGGGGTCTTCTTTTTCTTCTTTTACGCTTGGATGTATCTATGGTTTACGATTTCGTTCCGGGAATACTCGCTGGCCATCTTGGATTGGTGGATGTCGGTGTCGGTGAGGGATGATAAGTTTGCGGCGGCGGTACGGAGATCATGAGATGATATATGTTTATGAAATGATTATGAGAGCATTTTTACATTACATTGTCATGGTTACTACGGTGGTATAGATTGTTGCGTATGTGAATGAAGGCAAATGCAAAGGCGGTTAAAGCTGATAGTGAGAATTCCATGGGAAAGTGAAGAAGGTGGTGTAGGAGAGTTTTTGGAGGACTTGAAAACAATGGGCTGTTAGTTGCTCATTCATGTCTCCAGAAACTGAATGTCTAACATGTCTCAGACTAGGACAGAAACAACTCTTTTAATACCAACACCATACCTCTAGTCTACGCCTATACCATCTCCATTCCCCCTACCACTACTACA